GTCAGGTCTAAAGGAAGTGCAGGGATACATCTTATTTTAAAAATTATACTTATGATCAATTCCTATTACCATTTTTATTTTTGAAAAAATTCTAGTGTGGTATGAAGGGTATTTGTACTAGCATAGGAAGCACTTGCCTATGTGTTTGTAGTGTTTCTCACCGTTGATTCATGTACTTATAAGATACACAAGATCTAAAGTCATATCTTCCGAAGTTATTTTTTCAGTTTTTCTTATACCACTCTGTAACTCTATACACAGATTAAGTGTTTAATAAATGTAATAAAACAATTACTGAGCACCTGCTGTGTGTAGGCTTCAGCCTAAGTATTGTGTACATTTAAAAAAGAGGCTAAAAGACTCTTTAGGAAGATGGGTCATTATGAAATAATAAGGCTAGTTAGCATATGCTAATTTTTACAAATTAGTATTAAAAGAAATAAATCCAGGTGGCAGAAATCATGGTGGAGCACAGTTCTTTCAAGAAGTTTGTGGACAGGTAGATGTGGAGTGTTGATAAATGATGAATTCTTGGTTCTTGGTTTTAAACATCAAAATCTGACTTTAGCTAGCTAAGAAGAAAATAATTTTATGATAAGGCTAGGGAATAGCTCACAGAATTGAAGGAAAGGCCAGAAAACCAGGATCATAAAATGATAGAAAGCTTGGTAGCAGAGACTATAGCTAAGGTTATGCTTCAAAACAGCCTGGTTAGGATTGTATCAATCACTGCTGAACACAATTGGAAACCATTGCCAGGGCCACAGAATGGAACAACTATGAATTAATTCTAAGCTTTCTGTTAGTGACTGCAATTCGTTCACAACTCAAAATTTAGGCTGAAATATATAACTGGTGGCACCCAAGCAACCAGTTTGGGAGAAAGAAAACATTTAACCTCTTAGCCCTCTCTAATGCTATGTGGAGCCTTGATTCCCACAGACACATAACAAGTCTCCCAAAGTAAGAATGAGCTTTGGGGCTGAGCTGTCAAAAACTGACAACATACCCACTGGAGTACACTCCTTTGCTTGTCTAGGATACACATACCCACTGCTTCCCATGGTTACACTTCAAAAAACCATCCCACTTAACTCAGCACAACCATTCCTTATTCAGTTGAGAATGCAGACCCTTCCTCACACAGGAAGACAGTTAGTAGTCTGATAGGTTACTATATTCAGTTCCATATCCAGGATCTCAGGGAAATGTCAATTCCTCCCAAGTTATATACTAATCCCATCACAATGTTCTGCAATCCATGCACTACATTGTAGTTAGCCAATGTCAAAAATCCTATATGCAATGAGAGAAGCAGGAAAAAGAAAAGGAAATTAATTACTCAGATGCTATAGAAAGAAATATGGGTGGAGGCTACAGCTGCTTTTGAAACTGGTCACAAGACCCTAGCTAGTATTTTTTACTTTTGTTCAATATCTATTCCATGTCCTTTGACTTTCAGCCAGAACTCTTTACAGGTACAGGTTTTTAGATCCAGTGAGGTAACCAAAACCTCATTCCTGAGGGATTTGAGCCCCTGCCTGTATAAGGCTGTAATATTCCACTAACTGAAAATGAGTCTAACAAGGAAGCAACTCAGGGCCTTTTGTGCATACTCCTCCTGGCTCCCACTGCATAGCAGTAATTAGATTTCCACTTAGTGGATTATCAATCACTCCAGTCAGTACCTTAACACCAATTTTGCCTGTGTGTCCAGTGCTCTAAGGTACTTGACATGGTCAAATGAGGCCTTCACTGCCAATTCAACAATAGCATTGCTGTATATAAACTCTGTGGAAGCATTTTTCCCTTGAGTACAAACACAGGCCCTTGCCCGGCAGAGGCCCACAGGGGACTGGCACAGAGACGAGTCCTAGTAAGCTAGTAACTCTGTCCTTTTGAGACACAGCTCTTTTTATTGGAGCTTTTAGAGAATGAATGCCTGGTCTTGGAACTCCAGGTAACCCTGTGACCCCAGCTGTCCATTCTGAACAGGATGTTGTCTGATCCATCTAGTCACAGATCAGGGCTTCTCAGCCTTGACACTATTGACATTTTGGTTGTTACTCTTTCTGCTGGGGAGTTGTTCTGGGCACTGTAGATGTTTAGCAGCATCCTTGGCCTCTGCCAACTAATGGCTAGTAGCATCACCCAATTGTAACAATCAAAAATGTGTCTAAGCATTGGTAAATGTTTAGCTAAATTGCTAAATTTTGCCCCTGGGAGGCAAAATTGCCTTTAGTTGAGAACCACTGACACAGGTGCATCTCTGAATTCCACCATCCAGAAGTGTCTTGAATCAGTCCAAGAGCACGAGTAAATTGTATGATCACATTGTCAGTTTGCTTTTTCCTGTCTTGCTGACTCAATTCATTCAACCCACAAGTATGGCCTCATGAGAGTTCCTTATGAATAACTGACTGATGCTAGAAAAAAAAAAAAAATTCAAGCTTGACTTATAGGTGCTCTGTGTACTGTTACTACTGGCCAAAAACGAGGCATTAAAACCCCTGTTCATGGGTGGCACTGAAGGACAGAAACATCCTCCTAGGGAGAACTTCAAGCAGTTCATGTTGTTGTCTCCTTGGCTTGAAGAAATATGGTGTAAAATAAGGGTTATGCATATTCATGGAAGGGAACTAGCAGTTGGCGGGATTGCCAGGAGTTTGGAAAATGATTGGTACCAACTTAAGAAAGGTTAGGAAGGGGCATTCTTCACATTTTACAAATAAGGAAACAGATGCATTAAGTTATTAAGTAATAGTACTGTATTTATAACTCATCGTAACTAAAGACTCATTATACAGTAGTCTCCCCTTATCCTTGGGGAATTCATTTCAAGATCCCCAGTGGATGCCTGAAGCCATGATAGTACCAAACCTTATATATACTATGTATTTTTCATACATACATACATACCTATGATAAACTTTAATTTATAAATTAGGCAGTAGGAGATTAACAATTAATAAAATAGAACAATTATAACAATATACTGTAATCAAAGTTATATGAATGTGGTCACTTGTTTCAGGGGATCCCTTGCAGAAGTCTGAATAGACTCAATGTTTCCTGGAGTAACACGGTGCCATTAATTAGAACGCATTTTCTGTTCATGTCTTCAACCCACAAATTTAATGCCTTTCCATCTTAACTAAGCACTTATCATATATTGTGGCCATAACTTTGGCAACCTCAGTATATAATTTTTTCTTTCCTTACTGAGAACTTTCACCTTTTCACTTAAAGTAAGCACTTTACAGTTTCTCTTTGGCATATCAAAATTGCCAGCATCAATAATATTGCACTTAGGGGCCTTTAAGTAAAATAAGTATTACATGAACACAAGCCCTGTGACAGTTGATCTGATAACCGAGATGACCACTAAATGATTAAGGGGCGATTCATGACCAGGTAAAATGGCACAAGATTTCATAATGCTACTCAGAACAGCATGTGATTTTAAATTTATGAATTTTTTATTGAGATGTTTATTTCTGGAGTTTTCCCTTTAACATTTTTGGACCAAGGTTGACTGAGAGTAACTGAAACTGCAGAAACAGCAGAAGGAAAAAACCACAGACAGGATGGGGGATGCTACCACATCTTGACAACTAAAGTAATATTCTGATAACTTAAAGCAGAATTGAATTTGGGGACATAAATAATGAATTCCTGATGAAACAGCAAGTAGATTAATAACTAGTTTTACTCCCAAACTCTTTTGTGGCCACAGGCACACTTATACGCAATGTATCCTTCACAAGTCACTGAATGGAATGTTGTAATCTACACAAAAAGAGATGAAATCATCTGAGTCAGTCTCGTAATAGAGATGGATTCCAGCTGCCATATAAACTCATCTTGACTCCTTTTATTGAAAGTGACAAAACCCAATATTAACGGCAGAGGCCAAAGGAGAATTTACTGGCTCATGTTACCAGATTTAAAGAATGGCAGGGTCCCCACTGGGCTTAGGGACTACAAGAATGCCATTAGTACTATACATGTGGGCCTTATTCCTTCCCACTGAGGTGGCTGAGCCCTGGCTGCCAGCATTACCTTCCCAGCTTAATCGTACCTTAAATTCAAGCTGAAAAACCTGGGAAAAGACTGGCCTGATTTGAGTAACATCTCCATTCCTGCTGCAATCACTATGGCCAGGAGAGATGAGAAACTAGGATTGGCCCAGCTTTGGTTAGGTACTTATCTTAGTCATTCACTCTGCCGTCGAAGTAGGATGGCTTATATTTGGAACCTATGTTAAACTGGAGACAGAAATTTCTCAAGAAAGAAGAGTGCTAGTCCAGAAGAAATAGGGTTCCAGAAAAAATATCTTATAGATTATCTATATGTATCTATCTTATAGGTATCTACATACAGAGAGTCTACTGTAGTATTTTTCTTAGTCATAAGACAAAGAATCTGGAGGAGCTACCCAAATGAAGGGGGGTTAGAAGGGGTGGTGATTTTGTTACTTGTACATTCCTTTGCAATAGTTAGAGCCAAGGTGGGGAAGGGTGGGGAGAGGAAGACAGGGAGGGAAAATAGATTCACTGCAATATCCACTCTGGAGGGAATCCTTAAGCCATGGGACTTGTATATATGATGCATGTATGTATGTCTATATGTACATACACAAATACACTCATATTAATCGAAACACTTCAGATCATTTAAATTAGAGCATCATTTGTCATTTCCAACTAAAGGTTTCTTAGTAAAAAGTTAAGACTTTTAGAACCATCATTAAATCATTTATTCAGTAACACTCAGCAGATAACAGAAACAGACTGTACACATTAATTTCCCATTTAGCCTGACTAACCAGTTTCAGTCTACAATGCTTTCCTAAATGTAAGATTTCTATGGCGAGGGAAAACAGCATTTTAAATAGTCCATCTTTTTAAAATTGAAATGACTTTCTAAATAGATATTTAGAAAGGAAATGAGGAAAATTAAGGCTTAATTAGTATAAAAAAAAAAAACCACCACCACAATTACAGAAGAACATTTAAATAGGAAAATTACAAAACTATATATAAAAAAATTATACATATATACATACTGTATCAAAATACCTTTTCTATTTTGGTATGTAAATTTTTGAGATTAAAAACCAACTAGTTCAAGCATTTCTAAATATAAAAATGTAAGGTTAGTATTTATTAAAAACAAAATAAACCAGTTCTATTGAAGTAACCACATATACACCAGGATAAATGTTTGGAATTGTGGAAACAGAAATAGTGAATAGCTTCAAATTTCTTAGTATTTTAATGGCTTATAAGTTACCTTTTTTCAGACTTTTTTGTTAAAAATAAGTTTGCTTAATTTTAAACTAAGGTCAATATGCTTTTTTTGCTTAAAGACAAAATACACATTAAAAATATTGGTATTAGGTTTGCACCAGCTAAAGAATAACATTTACATTTGTCTTGATGTAACAATTTTAAAACATACAAATTCAATATGTAGTATTAAATATGTAAAAAAAAAAACCCCACAAGAAACTATGCACCATTAAAAAATATAAATGCACCTTCTATTGATTACAGTATATGAATATCAAAAACTAAATATTCTGACTGAAAAGTAGCTTCTATAAAATGTCAAAGTAGTGGGCATTTTTGTTTTCCTGATATAATGAATAATTAAGATATATTTTTATCTCAATTAAACAGTAATATCAGTATTTCTTAGGGAAAATGTAGTATATACATGGAAAGGTATATACTGTATTCAAGTTTTCCAGTTTGTTCCATTAAAATGCTTTCTACAGCTTAGAAAAATAACACAGACAAAAGACATGAGGTAAACATCTTACAATTTTAAGATATTACTTGAAACTTAATACTCAGCCCAATACCTAGGTTCTAGAACAATGCTTAAGAAGGTCCTCCGTAATGATGATACGACAGGCATCTGAATCACATAATAAACAGCAGGTTTCTTGGTCTTCTGAGTATGAGATGATGCTCTTCCATGGTATTACAAAGCAATAGTGACTAAGTTTTGCCAAGAATATTGCTTCAGTGTAGGTTTACATGAGGCACCATGCAACAGTAAGAGCAGCTACAATGCCGTTCAAAATTGCCATACTATAGCCCATGTGGAAAGAATGTCCAGTAAGTTTCCTGAGGGAAGAAAAAGTGAAAAAAGGAAAATGTAATTTGGTATAATAGAAACACCATGAGTTTTTATTAAAAATGCTCACAAACTGGAAATGTGTTACACATTAATTCCCAAGTTAAAAAAGAATACTAGACATCTGCAAGATGACTGATAGATCTTAAATTTTCTGTTAAAATCTGTCCTGGTAATCAAATATTTCAATTTCATTACTTAGAGCAAAATGCTCAGTTTGATATCTGTACTTCTTTACTGTACTTCATAGTTACTGCATGCACCATAACCTAATTCTAAGGCAGAAGTTCTTAGATTATAAGCATTTCTTTATTAATTAGCATTGTGTTTCCCTGCTCTCTTGTTGTCACTTAGAATTTAAAATACATATTATTTCATTTGTCCTGTCTGTACCATTTTTAGGTTATGTGAAGGGACTCTATTTCTTTGAGCACTAAAAACATCATTTGTCCATGTGTGAGTCATAGATCAGATTATGTCTTTTATAGACATTTCAGTTCTCAACCTAATAAGTTATCTAATTGAAGTGGCCTTCAGCGAGTTCCCAAGTATCAGCAAAGACACATCTCGTTTTTTTACTATGAGTGCCGACTATCTTATGTGCACAGATTTTTCCTGACATTTGTTCCCTCTATCTTGCAGAAATTTTCCTTACTTTACTACATTTTCTTTCTTAACATCCTCCCACTAACTGCGCTGCAATTATTCTCTTTGCTTATCCTAATTAGGATCAGACATGCTATGAAGAAAAGGTAGTGTCCAACTGGCGTCAGAGGCAGAAGAGAATCTTCTCACTGGAGCAATTCAAATCGATGACACAGGGAGGTGCAAGAGCCGAAAGGCATTAGTAAGAAGGGCTCTGGACTGAAACTGTCATTATGTTCATGTCCTCTCCTCCTTTCCTAAGGATAAGTCAAAGCCAGAGAGGTACTCAGATCTGAATTAACCCTTTAAGAGCACCTCACTATAATGATTCCAGCATCTGTGACAGAGTGTAAATATACTCTTCAAAGGGCAACCTCTTTGCTTTCACCTGAGACTACAAAAGACCCTGATGCTTTCTGATGGCTCCCAGTTCTGGTCCATAGGAATTAGTATTTACCCTCTCCACTCAACCTTACTCACCACCTACGGACTAGCTGAATGTGTTTCTCATTTGCCATTAAGGGTTAATCTACCTAGGGTACTACCTACTATATGGCAAAGAAGATTAAATGCTTTGCCCTTTTAAAAAAAAAAAAATTCTCAAACATATGTTGATTAATGAACAGAAACTTAATCATAAAATTGAACTATCAGCATTATCATTCATTGTAAAAAACAACAACACACTAATGACCTGAGAACATTTAAATTCATACTAACAAAATAAAGTTAATCATGAAACAGAATTTCAGGAGTTAATTGTTCTCTTTTACTAGTTTGTGACCCTGTACCCCATAAAAATAGGAAAACCTTTAAAGTACAGTATACTAAACTTTAGGGAATTATAATAAGTACAATGTTACTATAATTGAATTTCACTGAGATGTACATGCTCAATTGCTCAGTGACCCTTACAAAACATGTAAAGCAAGGAATTTTAATGGCCATGAAGTAATGCTCCAGATTAGTGGCTCATAGTTTCTACCATCTCAGATGCACCATATTCCTTCCCCCTGGGAGGACAGTGGTTGTCACACATATGCTGCTTAGGCAAGGGACTTAAAAACTTTAAGGAATCGCTTGCTTTAAAGTTCCTTTCTAAAACAGCAGGACTGTCCTCTCTGGGGGAAGATATAGACAATTCCTGGCATGTTTGCTCTCCTATGACCCTTATTTGTGATCACTGAAGTCCTGTTAAAAAAATGAAGTTATCTTGGTTCCCTTTGTCAAAACCCTGCATTTGTCTCTAGTAGAGGTGATCTTTTGAACTGAAAAATGACGACGAAGCATGGTGCCTATTTTACTCAATCTCTTCCTATATTGTATCAGCATGAAAAGGTTATCAGGCTGAGAACTGAAGTTCCGTTAAAAAACGGAGGCATGTTTTCTGTGAACAACTTGGTCGAGAACCGAATTGTTCAACATGGGAGACATTCGAACTGAGGTTTGACTGTATATGCATTGTACTTTTAAAATTAAAGTATACACAGTGAAGTACAAATGTCTACCATGTATACAGACCAATGAATCTTTCTAATGACACACCCTCATGTACTTACTTACTATCCAGATCAATTATAGAACATTTTCAGCACTGCAGAAACTTTATTCGTTTCCCTGTCAATATCCACCCTCCCTCCTCCAAATCCTGAGATAACCACTATACTGTCAACTACCATGATGACTGGTTTCACCTACTCTTCAAACTCCATCAACACGGCATCATACAGTATGTATTCTTCTGTCTGGATTCTTTCACTCAGTCCTGTCTGTGAGATTCATCCATGTTTTATGTAGCAGGGATGTGTTCTTTTGTATTGCAGCTTAGTACTCCATTGTATAAAAATACCAAAACTTATCTATCCATCCTAGTATTTGGCATTTTGGTTTCTTCCATTTAGGGGCTCCTATAAATAAAGATACTATGAACATGACACTATGAACATATCTTTGGTGGGTGGTAGGCATCTGCCCTCATTCCTCCTTGGTGTATTCTAGGAGTGGAAATGCTACATTATAAGGTAGAGGTAGATTCTGCTTTATAGCAAGCATTAAATATCTCCCCTGAATATTTACACTTCCATTAGCAATGTATTAGTTTCAGTTGCTCCACACAGCCCCCAACATTTCATATTATCAGTCTTTTTAATTTTAGTGGGTGTGTAGAGTACGGTTTTAATGGGTGTTGTTGTGGTTTTAATATTTATTTTTCTGATGACTAATGCACTTATTATTGCCCAGATATCTTCTTTTTTGAAATTCTTGTCCCCCTTTTGCTCATTTTTCTATTGGTTTATAGAGATCTTTACATATTCTATATACAAATCCTTTGTCAGAAATGTTTCAAGAATATTTTCTGTTTATGACTTGTCCTTTCACTCTCTTAATAAGATCTTTTGATAAGCATAAGTTCTTAATATAAAGTCCAATTTATTAATTTTTTAATGGTTAGTACTTTTTTGTGGACTTTATAATAAATCTTAGACTACTGTGAGGTTACAAAGATATTCTGTTATTTAAAGAAACTTTATTGTTCTTTCTTTGAATGTGGGCGTAAAATTCATTTCCAATTATTTTTTGTATATGGTATTAGGCAGAGGCCAAGGCTCATTTTTTATTCCTTATGGATATCCAATTGTTTTGGTGCAATTTATTGAAAGGACTGTCCTTTCCCCTTACTGAATGGCTGTGATACTTTTGCCCTGAAGTCATATAACCGTATGTGTGGGCCTGTTTTTGAACTTTCTATTCTATTCTTTTGGTCTACTGAATCTATCCCTGATCAAAATTAACTTTTCTATGTAACACTAGCCAATTAAAAAAATTATATGCTGAGAGATACCTCAAAATATCAAAGAAAACCTACAAAATCTTAGAAATACAACTAACAATAATGTGTAAGACTCACATGAAAATAACCAAAAACTTTACTAAGAAGATCTAAATAAACAGAAAGACATCCTGTGTTTATGGAACTGAAAATAAATTGCTAAGATGGTAGTACTCCCTAAATCTACAGGTTCAATGCAGTTCCTCAAAATTCCCACTGTGTTTTCTATTTGCAGATATGGACAAGTTGATCCTAAAATTCCTATGGAAATGCAAGGGACTCTAAACAGCTAAAACAATCTTAAAAAAAAACAAAGTTGGAGGACTCACACTTCCCAATTTCAAAGCTTAATACAAAGCTAAAATAATCAAATGGTATGGTACTAGCAGAAGGATAGACATATAGACCAATGGAACAGAACTGAGAGTCCAGAAATAAACCTACATATCTACATTCAATTAAGTTTTGACAAGGGTAATAAGACCACTTAATAGGGAAAGAACAGTCTTTTCAACAAATAACGCTGGGACAACTGAATGCAAAAAATGTGAATTTGGTCCTCTACCTCATACAATGTGCAAAATTTAACTCAAAATGGACCAGACCTAAATGTAAGAACACTATGAAGTTCTTAGAAGCATGGGTGTAAATTTTCATGACCATAAATTAAGCAATGGTTTCTCAGATCTAACACCAAAAGCATAAGCAACTACAAAAAAAATTAATTGAATTTCCTTAAGTTAAAACTTTTGTGTTTCAAAGGCCATTATCAACAAAGTAAAAAGACAACCCACAGAATGGAAGAAAATATTTGCAAATCACATCTCTGATAGGGGTCTACTATCTAGGATATAAATTAACTCAACTCAAAAGTAAGACAATCCAATTTTAAGAGGGGCAAAGGATTTGAATAGAAAATTCTGCAAAAAAGATATACAAATGGACAATAAGCACATGAAAAGCATGCTCAATTGGAGCATGCTTTAGTAGTAACCAGAGAAATGCAAATAAAAATCACAATGAGATAGCACTTCAACCCACTAAGACAGTTATAATACAAAAGAAAAAGAAGGAAAAAAATATTGGTGAGGATGTGAGGAAATCAGAATTCTCATACATTGCTGGTGGGAATATAAATTGGCGCAACTACTGTAAAAAAGTTTGGCAGATCCTCAAAAATTTAAGCAGAGTTACCAAATGATTCAACAATTCCATTCCAGTTATATACCCAAGGGAACCGAAAACATATGTTTACACAAAAATCTGTACCTAAATGTTCATAGCAGCATTATTCATAGTAGCCAAAAAGTGAAAACAAGCCAAATGTCCATCAACTGATGACTAGATAACAATATGTGGTATGGTATATCCATACAATGAAATATAATTCAGTCACATAAAAATAAAAGTACTGATAAATGGTACAACATGAATGAACTTTGAAAACAGTGGGCTAACTGAAAGAAGCCAGACATAAAATACCACATTTGGGGGATTTGTATGATTTCATTTATA